TTAGCGAAGGTAAGGATAACAACTGAAGCATGATCCTCGATCACATGAAATTCAAAGGGTAAAGATAATTGATCTTTTGAGTACTTATTGATCAAAAAAAAAAAAAATTCTACCACCACAATATTTTCTAATATTGCTCCCCTTGGTAGCTTTGTTTGGTTTGAAGCAGATTATATATACAAAAAAAAGTTTGTATTCCACCATGTGTATTCATGATGCTAAAAACTCAAATCTACTTTTAAACAATGAATAACGACTGCAATTGTATTGACTCAAACACCACTTTGCATCTAATTAGCTAACAAGGTGGAAAAAGTCTTTCCAATAGCACTTTTTACCGATACCGCAGCCATATTAACGGCCTGTTTACATGGAGTGGGGGACCCCGGTCTAGTGGGGTTGGTTTCTTTTGTTTTCACGCGCTAAGGGGACACAAGTAGTTAAGGGGGTTGATATGGCAAGTAACCAATCACAGAGCAGTATTCTTTTGTTTAAGATTTAGAGAACAATTGGAACAATGGAGCTCATTCGTATTCAGTACTTTGAACCAATCACAGAACAGCAAGAGCACTGACGACATTTATGTAATATGGGATGGAAAAAGAACGTGTTTTTATTGACGTATAAAAAATGTTTCGCGCCATCTGTTGTATTAGTATTCATGAAAAATGGCGCCGTTAGCTATAAACAAAGTTATCTTAGATCGATTTGTCGACATAATAAATCAATTGCAGAAGGACCTATCTGAAGAGTACAGTCTCCTTAAAAGACAGAATCAGTTTGCATTGCGTCGGCTGGAGAAGAAACAAGCAAAACAAATTATATCTACGGAAGAAGTGTATTTGTATCGAGAATTTTACCAAAGAGAAACAAACTCTGTCAACACTCGGTATCCAAAAGGATAACTGATTTGGCTAATGGTTACATCATCACTTAACGTGTAGTCTACCAAATTGTCTCTGTAACTTAGATCTTGGTTCGTAGGTAGGTCCTTTTTCAGATGATACAATTAACATATTTTCTTGTAATCTTCGCTTGAACAAATTGTTCATTTCCAATAAGGCATCAGGATAATCGTAGATATTGCGTAATAATGGCAGTTCTGCTGATCAACGTGGGTTTCATAATCTGCTTCTCCGTCATTTCCTCACACCATACTTTTTGAAATGCAATCCGTTGTAGCTGTAGTTTGTCGGAAAACGGACCACCATAAGAGAATTATTTCTCAGCCATAGTTGTCTTTGGACAAACACGCCGCGGGCTGATTATGCAAAAATCTTCACCTTAAGACCAAGTATTGTGTAAAAAAAATGCCATTAAGAATTAGCCGTTTAGCTTTTGTCTTTTTTAAAAAATAAGCGATTAAGACATTGAGTTCCCACTTCGAAAAAAGTCAAGGAATGTTGTTTCACAATCATCTAGAACATGTTGTATTTCTTTGCGAAATTGTAATTCTCTGTCTATCGAAAAACCTATGAAATACCTGTCGCAAAAACTACAAGACGATTCAGAAAAAGAGGGCTCTTTTAACCCTGATTGGATAGTGAACAATCTATTATGTGTTCAACATACAAACGCGCTCTCCGTTCAATCATGATTTCATTCTTAAAAGTTCAGTTTGCTCGGAAAAAAGTCTTAACTCTCACCAATATTCTTTGAAGCATTGTCCAGCGTCAAAGGATAGCCAGTTTTATTGGACATGTATTCTAACTGACTTATGCGGCTTTGGTTGACAAACTCATCCAACAAGAAAAGCTGAATTACTGTGACGGTTGTGCTATTCAACACCCAAGTCAAAACCAACATTCTTGCCTCATGATGGGTAATGATGACGCATGGAAGTATTACCACGATGAAGTGGTGGAACAAATTGACCTGAATTCTATGTTGAACGCTACCGAAAGTATATGCAGTGCTCTCGGCTTCAAACTAGATAAATCATGGGAAGGGTACTGCCAAATATTGTCGTGGACCAGTATTTACCTCCCTTCTCTGGAACTTGATGTTGTCCAGCAGGGTGATGATCTTCAAAGCCGTATTTCATACGCTCTATACTACCGACCAAATGGGCTCAAATGCAAGGATTTCAGTGATCAACAATGTCCTGATAGAGTCGTGAGAAAAGAAGAACACCAATGGACCTTGACATGATAATTAATGACATTCAAAATAAGCTTTGTTTCTAAAAGTAATAAAATTTCTTCATGATGACTAAAATTTTAAGTCGGTGTGTGTCTCTGTCTTTGTCAAGATGGGGCTTTCTCTGTCTTTGCTTGGGGTCGACTTTTCTCTGTATCGCATTGTATATAAAGAGTTTTCCTTTATGTGTAAAAAAATGTCATTTGTTCATAGTTTGTAAATAAATATGGTTTAATATACTAAACACGGTTTGTTGTCTGTCTAGCCGCGCGCGCGTGTGTGCGCCACGCGCGATTCAGTCACCCGCGTAAAGGAAAAACACAGTGATATACAAGGCCCTTGTGGCCTCTGTAGCCCCTGTGGCCCGTTCTCAATAGTCTTAAACTTCGTGTCATTAGCGGTTTTATTCAGTTGATATCGAACCTTCGTACCGTGAACATCATGGGTAAGCGTGTATGTCGTCATTGCCCGATACCGGGATGTCACTCTAAATTTTTAATTCGATTAGCAAACCATTTGGCTCAGGTACACGAGCTGTCTGACTTAGAGAGAAAATATTGGCTCCAGTTTGCTAAATTACAAAATACTAACATGGTTCGAGTTTATGATAAAGATACTCCGCCAAAGACCATTTCGCTATGAATAAGAGCAAACGCAGCTGAACTAGTCAGTTGTCAACATGGACCCAAGGTGGAAACACCCTTTTCCTGCTATTGTAGCTGGCCCCACTTGTTGTGGAAAAAGTCATTTTGTCAAACACCTGTTGGAATCTGGAGAAGATTTAATAGACGGAGCTCCTGAAAATATCATTTGGTGTTATGGAATATACCAACCAGCTTACGATGAAATGCTAAGGACTATTCCCAACATCACGTTCGTCAAAGGAGTTCCTGGTGATTTAGAATCTATGATAAACCCAACCATTCGGAATTTAGTGGTCATTGACGATTTAATGCAGGAGCTTAGCAATGATCAGAGAATTACCAATTTGTTTACTAAGGGCTGTCATCACCGAAAAATAAGCGTTATTTTCATTCTTCAAAATATTTTTCACCGGGGAAAAGAACTGAGAGACATGAGTTTGAATGGCCATTATTAGGTGATGTTCAAGTCTCCGCGAGATAGCAGTTAAGTCAGTCACTTGGCGAAACAGATGTTTACCGGTCACGTCAAATACATGCAAGAAGCGTTTCAGGATGCGACAAAACGCCCTTATGGCTACCTGTTATGCGACCTCAAACCGGAAACACCTACCGACTTCCGGCTGCGCACAAACATTTTCCCTGCGGAGACTCAGCTCGCCTATGTCAGAAAGGTATAAAAAAGCTCCGTCGTAGTGATTGATATCAGTTGAGTATGGCCCAGCGACTAAGAAAGAACCACGATTTTCTTAAGCTCCTCGTCAAGTGTACCCCAGCTCAACGTAAGGCAATTTTGAAAGCAGCCGACGACGCTTTAGTAAAAACCATTTGTGAGTGTGTATTCAACGTACTTAAAGAAACAGTCCCTGTCAGTAAACCGGCAAAGAGAAAACTTCTTAAGCACAAGAAAGCCTTGACTGCTCTAGCTGAAAAGAGTACCCCGCTAAACAAGAAAAAGCAAATCTTGATAGAACACGGAGGAAACTTTTTAAGTGTTTTGCTACCTCCCGTTCTTCGAGTGTTGAGCTCGCTTCTTAGTTAAGATGAATCATACAAGATGCATGGTTCTCGTTCCTGAAAACACTCTGGAACGATTGCAGCAACGCTAGCAGATATTAACACCACCTGTAACACAAACTCTGAAAAATCTGGATAGCCAAATGGGGGATATTTTAGAAAGTAAACAACTTGGTAATGAGGAAAAAGCGAAGCTTTACAATCAGGTGTTGCAACGGTACTTGACTTATTACGATCAGCGGAAAGGCCAGCCTCTCCATGTGAAGTTAACGACCCCTAAAACAACAGAAACCCCCAAACCAGCTGAGAACGCAGAGTCTACAGAGGAAGCTTCTCCAGATAATTCTCTTCCAACAGCAGTAGAGGAAGAGGTCATGAAAAGTGTACCCAAAATTTACAAAACTGGGGCTAGACAGTTGTTGGATAAAATTTAAAAACACCAGGATGTGTTGCACTGGAATGATAAAGGAGAGCTGTTGTATGAAAACAAACCAATCCCAGGTTCTCATGTGGTCGACCTAGTCAACGACACAATGCGTCACCGAAAAGGATTTGAACCAGTGGGGTGGTCCGTGTTTGCGAGGGGCCTGGCGCGAATGAATGTCCCCGAAAACTTGGTTCGTAATCCCCAACGTCAGAGTGCCATAAGAGAGTTTAAAGCAAGAGTGAGAGAGGAGACCCCAGAAAGTCCTTCGCGTTGGCTACCCACCCCACCTGTGACGTTATCTTCTGTCAAAAAGCAGAGGCGCAGAGTCGAGAGTCCTCGCCCTCAGGCTGTTCGATGGTTACGATTATAAATCATGACAAGAGACTTTTTTTATTGTGAAACAAAACTTTATTTTGTAATTCAATAAAATGTGTTGAAAAGAAATTACATGGTGTCTGTTTACTGAACTTAGTGTTCTGCTTTTGCTCTTTGCTTGTTTACATCAGTACGATATTTCGGAAAACCTATAGGAAAATGTTTTTCAATAAATCGTTTTACGAGACTATCATTTTTACTTGTGTTTTTAGAAAAACGATGGACAATAGCACTCATACTTATATCCCGACTACGATATAAAGCAAAATACAAACAGTAATGTATGCAGACTTTTGAATAGATGCTTTGTAATGTCACAGTATTAAAAGTCCACTGGTTAGAATTGTTGTTTAAAAAGGCAGTAAATGTTCCTGAATATTTGCTGGGTGGTGATCCGTAAGAATCGAAAAATTCTCCCTCTTGCTCCTTGGTGAAATAAAACGCCACCCAATGCGAACCTGGCTTGTCACTCGTATCCACATTGGCGATAAACAGGGCTGGGTAATGTGAAACACTTGCAGGCAGCTGGTCTGAGGGATACACGCCTTGAAACAAACCTCGTGTAAATTTATCCTTTCTCAAAATAAGGGTCAGTTGAATAGTGTCCATTTTTAGTTTGTGTAGTCGAACAATACGTTGCGGTTCCCGTCAATTTCAATCACGTTTTGGAATTCAGCGTACACGATAAGGTTAACCGTATTGGCCAGCGGTTCCTTGAAATGAAGCTCAGCGCGCAGGTTACCTTGCTTTATTAGCTCAAAATGGTCACCTGAGCAGTGGTCTGGGGACAAGTCAAAGCAGAATGCTGTGTAACCAGAGCCATAATCGCTTCTACTGATTTGATTACCCGCATCTTGGGATAGCTTTCCAGTGCCTGAGAACAGGCTTTGATAGCCCGCTATTACATTTTGACCTCTAGCTTCGTCAAAATTCAAGAACAGGAGTTTCCGAGGAATTTGCTCTCCGTCCACATAGACACCCACTTGAGTTAGATTGTGGTGTTTGAAGTTGAACGGGTTGGTACTGTAAGTTCCATTATATGCCTGAGTATCCACTAAGACCAGCACGATTCGTTTAGGAATGTGACCCAAAAAGATGTTGTCGGGGTTAAAACTGCTAAATCCTCTTGGAATAGACAGCACTTTACAATCGATTCGGCGAACCGGGTACTTGGCGCTGGAGTGTTATAGTGCAGCCGCATGGCCAAGTATAATAGAGCAGGCCAATTTCACCCGGCGAACAAACAAGATGGCTTCTGTGATTACCACCTTGAAACTTGGAGCGGCTGCTGATGACATTAGACAAAACGAGTTCTTGGCTCGGTTCAGTTTGATTCTTAAATTCACTCCATTTAGCATCAACCGGTCTTGAAAGAAAATGTCGCTATGAATGGGCCCCATCATATCCACAATATAAATTTCTTTAGTGAAATCATAGCGAACCTTTAACCCCTTGTTTGCAGCATCATCTGCAGCCACAGGGTTGGCAACATCCATTTTTCCAGGGGTATCTCTGTAAAACATGGCCATAGAAAGTTGACTTGTTTTTGCTTCTTCTCCGTAGTTTAGCAAGGTTTCGATCATGGCGCGATAATGGTAGGTATTGGTGGATGGAGAGATCAATTGCTCGTTCAAGGAAACGTCCACTTGGGAAAACAGGGAATGTAAAAACAGGTTCACGGGACCTACTTGTCTATCGGCGTCTATGGCGGTTCCATTTGCTTTTGTGATCTTGGCTTTAACAAATAACTGAGTACGTGCCAAGTCCAAATACTCATCTCCGGTTCCCGAAACATAAAATTCGATCGGACCACTGTCCGTGATGTTACTGATGGGGTGGTACTCGATCCATTGCCCTTTGGAGATAGAGGTTTGTGTTGCAGGAATCGTAAAGAGATCCAACTCTGATTTCGTACATTCCTGAGACTCGTGATGCACAAAGGCCATAGTTACTTCCAGAAAGAAAATTTCTCTTTGGGCTTCTTTTGCTGCGGAGATGTTTTTGCTTTCTTGCCTTGAGGCGAACTGATTTTGGTTCCTTGCCCTTTTCTTTTTGTAGATTTTTTGCCAGCTCCTGATTGTGTCCGCAATGAATTCTGAGAAGGTAGACCGAGGGCTTGTTTCGTGCGCTTGTGGACTGCTGTTTTAATGCTATCTTCATCAAGAACATCTTGGACGACATTGACACCTGTTTGTAAAGCCTTTTATCCAATCACCTTAGCACCCTGTTGAAGGTGAGGCATCGCCCAGCGAAACAGACCTCTGAATATGGACCCTAGTCCATAACCATGCTGAAATCGAGCACCGTGAAACGCTGGTAAACTCCCACCTTTTTGTTTGGCTTGATTAACATAGTACTGTTCGTACAACTTGTGATTTGGAGCGTGGAGTTTTTTCATCTTTAAAAGTACTGAGGTGCACTTTGACGAAAATGAAGTGTTAACAACACTCTCCCAAACTCAAAGGGTACAGACTCCCCCGTGTCTGTCTTTATATTGACTTCGACAGTTTCAAATTGCTTTCTGCTGACAGGTAAATATTGGGGGCGCAAAAATGATTTACTGACTCGCTCCCCAACCTTTCCTTCTACAGGAACAATTCGAAGCAAAGGTACCAATGCATCTCCAACATATTGTGACTGAATAAGATCACAGTAAATGAAAAGGTCGTGAAAGCCGTATTCCAAATCCACTTGTCTTTCAGCGGTAGAGGTATTAGAAATAATTTCTTCTGGTGAAAATCCCAGCAGGTATCCAATGTTACCAAAGAAAAGTTCTACGTTATTTTGTAGGTGAACAGTCACCTTTCTAGTGAACGCATCGTAGGAAAATGTCACGTCGTCATTGAAACGCTTTACATTCTCGATCAGCTCTTTCATATTTGATAAGATATCTCCAATGGAAGAATAATGACCTGGTGGTACAATTAGGGCTTCCCATACTCCGGACAATTCTTGGTTCCGAAGGTAGAATCGATTACCAAAATTTTCTTCGACATTATTCCAGCTGTGAGGATAGTGAATTTCCGTTAATGCTACTTCCCAGTCCCCCGTCAAGCTAACGGTCTGAGGTAAACCAAGTTGGTACTCAGTTAATGTGTTGCTGGGAAACTTATCGAGGCTGCTATTGCTAGGGAGATGCAGATAAAACTGTTGTACCTCCATCGTACCCTGTGTTGAAATGAACTTTTTAATCTGGGTATTCTTAATTTATTAGAAACCACACACCATTCATTTTATTATTTCATTTTCTTTTATTCACTACACAAAAAATGCATACATTACAATTTCAAAATATCTCTTTCTTGAACCCAAGAATCAAATTTTGGATCTTTGTATCCTTTCCATCTCACCAGATACTCTACTACGCCTTTACGATTTCTCTTCCGCAAAATCTTCTCGACGCAGTACACATCATCGTTCTTAATAATTTTCTGTAATTCGGGTTCATAAAATGTTCCATCTAAGATTTCACCTGCATCATCTTTTAGTTTATAAACGGGTACTTGACGAGCCATTCGCTTGTAAACAGTAAAAATTTCTTCCGTAAAATTAGGTAAGTAAGATTTTTCAAACATTCTCTTCACTTTGCTAATCCTGACGCGATCTCTCACTTGAAATTTATATCGCACAGGCTTTTGAACATCATCCCCATATAAAGTATCCCACACTTTAGCTTCATTCGCTTTAGTCACCTGACTCGGTTTCATTTTAATACTTCGGTGGTAAGTGTTATTGTAAGAAGACACTAACTGGGGTAATACATTGATATAGGTGAGAGTGTTTTTGGCCGTGAAATATTTGTATATCTTATTCTTAAATGTTCGGTTAAAACGCTCAACCACTGAGGCTTTGAGCCCAGAGTTAACAGTGAAAAAGGCAATGTTGTTGTCACGCAGAAATTTCTGGAACACGAGATTCTTGAACTCTGTTCCTTGATCTGTTTGCAGTTTGATGGGTTTGTGACCAGTAGAAAGGATCTTTTGAAAGGCTTTAACCAGTTCCTGACCTTGTTTTGTCTTCAACGGTAACACAAACGCGTACTTGCTGAAGATATCTATACAAGTCAGTAAGTATTTATAGCCCTTGTTGTAGCGACTGAGATTTTGGAGGTCGACCAAATCCGCTTGAAATTGCTCATCTATTCCAAAAACGATGACTCGACTTCTTATGTAGCGTCTTCGCGCGGGTTTGTGAAGAGTATAAACATCTTGCTGACTCAACCAATCTCGGACTTGTTTACGCGATATCTTGTTCTTTCCTTTCTCTTTGACTGCTCTGTAAACAGCATCTAAACCACCGAAACTTGCGGGTTGACTTGGGTCGAGGTAGATGCTGGCTAGTTTTTTCTCCATCAAAAAATTCCGAGTTTTGTACAACCACTTTACCACCGCAGCAAGCTAATGCACAACGTATGCGACTGAAAATGTGTTCAAAACCAAAAGTGGATGATGGCGGACAGCAACCCATCACTAGTGTTTACATGAACGGTAAAAGATGCAATGACTTCTCTCTCCCTGGTGCTCCTTTATATAGCTACTGTCGAATCTGGGTGAGAGTGGGAACAAGAAGGTGAAATAGTAGTTCCCATTCCTCCTCGGTTAATTCTAGCTGATCCGCGAAGTTCCAAAATACCACCCATCGTCCCCAGTTTACTTTTGAAAAGACCTCAGAGTGGAGTTTTTTCAACCTTTCTAGACTCGAACCCGGCAGATCTTTAAATTTTTGTTGAAGCATTTCCATTTCACTTGAAGACACTTTCAATGTTTTGGCTTGTGCGCGATACAGAGAAAAGTCGATCCGAAGCAAAGACAGAGAAAGCCCCATCTTGACTAAGACAGAGACAAACACACACTGACTCACAATTTAGTCATAAAGAAATTTTATTACTTTTAGAAACAAAGCTTATTTTGAATGTCATTAATTATCATGTCAAGGTCCATTGGTTGACACGAAGTTTATGACTATGGAGAACGGGCCACAGGGGCCACAAGGGCCTTGTATATCACTGTGTTTTTCCTTTACGCGGGTGATTGAATCGCGCGTGGCGCACACACGCGCGCGCGGCTAGACAGACAACAAACCGTGTTTAGTATATTAAACCATATTTATTTACAAACTATGAACAAATGACATTTTTTTACACATAAAGGAAAACTCTTTATATACAATGTGATACAGAGAAAAGTCGACCCCAAGCAAAGACAGAGAAAGCCCCATCTTGACAAAGACAGAGACACACACCGACTCAAAATTTTAGTCATCATGAAGAAATTTTATTACTTTTAGAAACAAAGCTTATTTTGAATGTCATTAATTATCATGTCAAGGTCCATTGGTGTTCTTTTCTCACGACTCTACCAGGACATTCTGTTGTTTCTTGTTGATCACTGAAATCCTTCCATTTGAGCCCATTTGGTCGGTAGTATAGAGCATATAAAATACGGCTTTGAAGATCATCACCCTGCTGGACAACATCAAGTTCCAGAGAAGGGAGGTAAATACTGGTCCACGACAATATTTGGCAGTACGCTTCCCATGATTTATCTAGTTTGAAGCCGAGAGCACTGCATATACTTTCGGTAGCGTTCAACATAGAATTCAGGTCAATTTGTTCCACCACTTCATCGTGGTAATACTTCCATGCGTCATCATTATCCATCATGAGGCAAGAATGTTGGTTTTGACTTGGGTGTTGAATAGCACAACCGTCGCAGTAATTCAGCTTTTCTTGTTGGATGAGTTTGTCAACCAAAGCCGCATAAGTCAGTTAGAATACATGTCCAATAAAACTGGCTATCCTTTGACGCTGGACAATGCTTCAAAGAATATTGGTGAGAGTTAAGACTTTTTTCCGAGCAAACTGAACTTTTAAGAATGAAATCATGATTGAACGGAGAGCGCGTTTGTATGTTGAACACATAATAGATTGTTCACTATCCAATCAGGGTTAAAAGAGCCCTCTTTTTCTGAATTTGCATAATCAACCCGCGGCGTGTTTGTCCAAAGACAACTATGGCTGAGAAATAATTCTCTTATGGTGGTCCGTTTTCCAACAAACTACAGCTACAACGGATTGCATTTCAAAAAGTATGGTGTGAGGAAATGACGGAGAAGCAGATTATGAAACCCACGTTGATCAGCAGAACTGCCATTATTACGCAATATCTACGATTATCCTGATGCCTTATTGGAAATGAACAATTTGTTCAAGCGAAGATTACAACAAAATATGTTAATTGTATCATCTGAAAAAGGACCTACCTACGAACCAAGATCTAAGTTACAGAGACAATTTGGTAGACTACACGTTAAGTGATGATGTAACCATTAGCCAAATCAGTTATCCTTTTGGATACCGAGTGTTGACAGAGTTTGTTTCTCTTTGGTAAAATTCTCGATACAAATACACTTCTTCCGTAGATATAATTTGTTTTGCTTGTTTCTTCTCCAACCGACGCAATGCAAACTGATTCTCTCTTTTAAGGAGACTGTACTCTTCAGATAGGTCCTTCTGCAATTGATTTATTATGTCGACAAATCGATCTAAGATAACTTTGTTTAGAGCTAACGGCGGCATTTTTCATGAATACTAATAAAACAGATGGCGCGAAACATTTTTTATACGTCAATAAAAACACGTTCTTTTTCCATCCCATATTACATAAATGTCGTCATTGCTCTTGCTGTTCTGTGATTGGTTCAAAGTACTGAATACGAATGAGCTCCATTGTTCCAATTGTTCTCTAAATCTTAAACAATAGAATACTGCTCTGTGATTGGTTACTTGCCATATCAACCCCCTTAACTACTGACACAAGACAAAAGAAACCTACCCCACTAGACCGGGGTCTCCCACTCCATGTAAACAGGGTCTAAATTGATTCGATTTAGGAAGTATTATGGCATGCCCAGGGGGCATGAGCACATTCTGTTTGTATTTACGAGCGCCTTTCAGGGCATTTTTTCTTAAAGTTTTCTTAGAATAAGCTTGTAATGGGAAAAAAGATCTTTGTGCCGTGTTTGGATGTAATCATGAGTCTCCCAACCCCTTCTCTTTGATTTTCCTTTCGTGCAAAAGAATGATCATCGGGATACGAAAATTTCGCGTTGGAAAAAACACTAAGTGACTGCAGGTAGTTTAACCCCAGAATGGCACAGTTGGCAAGTGCAAGGCCTTCGGTGCGTGAGGTCGCGAGTTCGATCCCCGGTGACATTACATCCTTGTTTCAACTTTTCTCCTTTCTGTGTAGCTTAAACTAGCTGTAAATACCCTTAAAACGGAACATTGATGGAGGGGGCGCAAAATGAACACATCGTCGACCCCAAGTTTATCAGTTGAATTACTGTCACGAGTTCTCGACATAAAATATGGTTGCTTTACCATTTTTACCTTTAAGTAATTTTTACACCCAAAATGTGAATGAAGGTTTTGCCTCACCATGTTAAATTTTGGTTAAGCCTTAGTGACATTCGCTTTGTTGCAACAGACACGTACCAACGTCTAGAGTGCTAAAATACAGTCTTAACTTCCCAATACAGCCTTAACTCACCACTTTCTTCTCCTCCCTCTTTCTCACTGATTCTGAGACAGTTGAACTGTGATGAACTCTGAAACGCCTTCTTCGCACTGGAAACCGCATCATCTGGAAAATGAAATTAATTCTAGTTTCATGCGAAAGCGTGAATTTAAAATACTCAGTATACGCACTAGGCTTTCTGAGGGTGAAGTTTCTAAAACGAGTATCATCGACAGAAGATCAAAACATGACCCACGAGATAGCCTAAGTGAAATAAAAAACAAACAAGGAACTTTCACAAACTTTTCTAGTATAATTTAAAGTATATAATTATAAGACCTTACTTTTCCCACACTTGAAGGGGCAAGGGTAAATAGGGAAGTGCACATGGAAAACTACTTTGCATGTACTTCTACTTCCTACTTCTCGTAGCAGGCCGAGTGAAAGGCTACTTTGTACCACGTGTTTGATTAACCGGTAAAAACCCTATTTCATATCACCTTTTATTCTCGTGCCAGTTTAAATCCACGATTTCTCAAAAAAATTCAATAATAGCTTGCTTTTTTAGAAAGTGGTCATTATAACATAGGTAATGATGATGATTATGAAACTATTGGGTTACACAAATTACAGGTAAAACAAGTAGTTTACATTATGGCCCGAAATGGTACATCATTGTAACTGTTGGCCTTCTCTTTGAAATATATACTTAACAAAACTCCCAATTTTGAAGGCGCAAAATATCCCAAAAATTCGAATTCAGGCGTCCTACATCCCTCTCTCCGATGGTCACTTAAGGTTCATGTTTACAATGAAACAAAAAACCCAAGTCACTAGTTTAACCTCAACCTGTAATTCAAACAAACGTATGAAGGAAGGTTTAGTCATATTTCCCTATTTCCAATTTTGCTTCACATTCTTTCTCAACGGATATTCTAGTTTTCAAAACGGGCTAAAAACAGTCTGAACGTTTTATCCAGTTCGCGGGTTAAAAGGATACGAAATATTTCTAAATCGGGTAAAATAAGCTCGTAAAAAATTTAACTGTCACAAGGAGATTGCTTATTATTTATGAAAGAGATAAAATATTCATCGGCAAGAGGTTTCCAGTGATAACATTAGACATAGATATAGCATTTGTTCCACTTCAACTTTTTCTAGAGGAACACAATTTGTAACATACACGTAGTAACAGTTACGCAGGCAACCTTCCCAAACGATCTTTACTTACCTCGATTTCTTCCTCGCTGTCTGATGTTGACTCTGAGCCAGAATCAGCCAAACTGTAACGGGCGCCTAAAGAACGTCTCCCATCGGGATGCGACAAGGGGACGACCTGCAGGATGTAATGAAATTAAATTACGTTTGGCTGGTAGAATGTGACTTGTTGTACAATACCATAAAGTATACGCTCTAGCCTTTGAAAGTTCATGAAACAAAACCAAGGACAAATGACATATACACTGCGAAGCACAGAAGAAAGTAATTGCATACTGGCTTATTATCCCACGACATCACAGTTTTGGAAGCGTTGACGATATGCCGACAACTTTTCGATATGGTCGACTTAAGCCTTTTAAAAACGTTCAAATAGTCCTCAAACTGACTAGGAGTGCTCCCTTCAGGTTCTTTCAAGATAAACTAGTAAGAGCAACAGAACAACGCGGGCGCACGAGAATCTTGCGACCCGTCTTTTCCTGTTTCACAATTGAGTGAATATAGCCATTGAATGTAGCTCGTGAGATTCAACAGTATAAGAATTATTTGATGAGGCTATATTAACGTAGGATATAAAAGAATGTCAACGAAGTAGTTGTCCTGGAGTTGTAGAAAATGCATTGCATGACACAACAAATTATTTGTTTCCCAAAGACTGGGTAGTCTTACTGTAGACGCCGACATTTTAGTACAATTTTGGCTAAAATAACTAGAGCACGGAAACAAGTTTTGTCAAAACGTTAATTTTATCGAATTATCGCTCACACCTCTGACTGGCGAATTCCTGTTTTTTCCTTAATAACTCACCCCACGAGAATAACATCCCACTGTGCAACTCTTGTTGACAAGACATTTCGAAATTCCCTTAATTTGATAAGTGGAAAAACTGTGATGTCGTGGGATAATAAAGTTAAACTCCCAAGGTCCTGGAAGGATGCCGATGTCACACCTCTGATGAAAGTTAAGCCGGTGACTACCATCGCCAATTATATTCGACCTATCTCCCTGACACCGGCTTTGTCCAAGTTAGCTGAGGACTTTGTGGTTAGCAAATATATTGGTCCCGCAGTCTTGGAGACGATTGATTCTAACCAATTTGGAGCTATCCCCAATTCCTCGACCCTACATGCCCTCATTTCAATGATGCATACGTGGGCGCAAGCAACGGATGGGACTACCTCAGCGGTGCGCGTGGTGTGCTTGGATTACAGAAAGGCCTTCGTCCTGGTAGATAATAGTATCCTAGCTGCCAAAATCCTGGGTTTGCGCATTCCTCGCGGAATTGCCCGTTGGGTTTGCGACTTCCTCATGGATAGGCGCCAGCGAGAGAAGCTATCTAGCGATTGCTTGTCCGAATGGGGCACCGTTCCATCAGGCGTGCCCCAGGGCACAAAACTTGGCCCTTGGCTTTTCATTTTGATGATCAATGATCTCCACCCTTCGGGATCTGACGTATGGAAATACGTGGATGACACCACGCTCGCTGAGGTGGTTCCAAGAGGAGGTCAAAGTGGAATGCAGGTCGCTGTTAACGCTGTTGAGCAGTGGTCTACAATCAACAAGCTCCAGCTGAATGCGGATAAATGCAAGGAACTCGTTATTGACTTTACGAAGGTTAAACATCATTTTGACGCAGTTACTGTGAACTCTCAAGAACTCGAACGCGTAGATAGTGTTAAATTGCTAGGAGTTACCATAACCAACACGCTCCAATGCAATTGTCACGTCTTAGATGTAATCCAAAAGGCCAACAAGAGAATATACTTTCTTATTATTCTTTTTGTGCAACCAACCCTAAACTTTTAACATTCCACAATGTTCCTGTAAAGTTTTATCTAAATCGCTTCTAAAACAGCGGAGATATAGGCGTTTTAAAAAATGCAGCAGAGACCAAACTTTTCCCTATGAATTTCTTCGTAGATCGGTGTCCCCGCGGCCTTAAATAATTTCGTTATCAAAAGCACATTTATTATTCTTCATGCAAGAGGTAAAACATTGTGACCAAATATTACCGACAAGAGATTTCCAGTTAGACGGTATTAAACATACTTGAGATATAATATTATTTCCACTTTGAACTCCACGAGAGTTCAAAGTTCCACTAGAGAACCTAGTAGCACACTCTTTGTAACAGAGACATGGTAACAGTTACATAGTTTACTACAGTGCAACCTTCCCAAACGTTCTCAACTTGCCTTGCTTTCTTCCTCGCTATCTATTGTTGATTCTGAGCCAGAATCAGAAGGTCTCCGATCGGGAAGCGGCAACGAGACGATCTGAGGATGTAATAAAACCAAGATGCGTTGGGCTGGTAGAACGTGACTTTAAGTTACCATTGAGTATGCGCCCTAGCCTTTGAAAGTTCAATGAAACAAAACCAGGACAAAGTGGCATATACACTGCACAGCATACAACAAGAATAATTGCATGGCTGATTATCCCATGACATTATCCGGCTTTGGAAGTGTTAAAGATATGCCGACAACTTTTCGATAATATAGTCGGATTGTGCCATTTAAAAACGTTCAAATAGTCCTCAAAATATTGACTAAGATTAGTCCCTTCGGGCTCTCTCAAATTAAACTAGAGAATAAGAAACTTGCAACCCGTCTTTTCCTGTTTCACGAACCAATGAATATAACCATTGAATAATGCAGCCCATGAGATCCCACAGTATAAGAATCATTAGATGAGGCTGTCTTCACGTAGGACATGTGCAAGTCGTTATGAACATGGCACTTTAATGATGCCACCAAGTGACGTTTTTCATATTTGTTTTGCTTTGTTAGAAAAACACAACGAGCGCACACTACAATGTGCGGCACACACGTATGAAAAATGAGCGTTGATAAGTAACAGTTCTACTTCGCTCAGGGATGTAATTAACAGCATTGCTGGTCGATGACCTGGTAGATCTCGTTGACTGTCTAGTTGCAGGCAGAGCTTCACTGTCTATGAAATTACGTTATTAACAGCTTTATCGAAAAAAAAAACTATATCCAAAATTCATGCCAGTATCAGATAGGTAAAAGATTTATAAGTTGGAGGCGGGTCTTATAGGTTACATCGCAACCGAAGGGAAGCTTCAATTAGTTTTGTTACACGGCGCTGCACGTTTTTTCAACTCGCTTTAGTAAGCCAATGGACTGTGGTGACCATACTTGGGTTGCATAGCCGAGATGGCACCGGACGATAGAAAGATAAAGTGTACGATGCGTTTGGGTGCTTTGAATGTACCTAGAAGCTCGGCGCGCGAAGCCAAGGAGCTTGTTGGCTTTCGCACACTGTTCAGTCACTTGTTTGTAAATTTAGATGTCCCGAAATTGCTTCGGAATTAGTTCGAGAGTCTTCGCGTTGTTTGATAGATTTTGATTTATTATTCTGGCTAGAAATATTGAATGCCAAAGTATTTTACAGAAAACAATTAAGCAGTTTGGGGTAGTAGCTTCAAAATACGAGCGAAAATCGAGATACAACAGCAAATTTCAATGCGTCTCACTTCACAGTCGAATTTGCTTGTCCTGTTATGTCGCGCGATATGTTTCTCCAAAGTGCGTTTCAGTTTGGCTTTTACCGTCGAAACCCTGTCTTTTCCCCCTGAAATCTAGCTTGGAATTCGTTTTACATCGTGGAAAACCCAAATTTATTAGTTTCTCCGTTAAATTCCCCGCCAATAGAGCAAACTTTCAGTTCTATACTACGGCCCTATACTACGGCCCGAGAACTGTACTGCCGTGTTTGTGTTTTTTTTTTCTAAATCCAGCGGCCGAAATAATGATACATATGCTTTTCAATACACTTTTAAAAATAACACCACACAATAGGCAAAAAAGAAGAAAAAGGTAAGAAAGAATAAAGTAGGGACCTTCACGACGATGTTAGTCGTGGGTTACCTATCCAGTTCC